AGCACGTCTGGTCCAATTGATTAGCTTACAAACGTGTTTTGACTCTGATCTGATGGTCCACATCTTTTTGGTTTATTTTTATTTTCTGATTTTATATTTTAATTGTTTTAAATTTCAAAAATTCATAACTCTTTTATTTTTTATCCAAAAATTATGAAAAAAAATATACGAAAATACCTTGATTTATTTCTGACTTTGTGAATGTTTTTTTTATTTTTTTATTTTAATGTCTGATATTTTTCAGAATTTTCTTTGTTTGCTTTATTTTAATTATTTAAAAAAAATACTTTCTGACATTTATAAATTCTGAAATTTTTTATAAAAATGATTTTCATTGCTTCTGACCTTTTGATTTTTTTGTAGAATTTTATCATAATTTTTACTATTTTTGATCTTTTTTTTTCTTTATTTGATCAATTTAAATTAGCTTTAAAATATTTTCTGAATTAAAAAAAATACCAAAAAAATTATATAAATATTTGAGGTTATTACTGATTTTTCTATGGTCTTGTTTAATTTTTCTTGATTATTTTGAATATAATTGCTATTTTTCCTCTTTATTTCATTTTTAAATCATTTAAAAAAAATCTTATTTTAAATGCAATTTTATTTTTTATATATATTCTGGCTGGTCTTGGACTATGAAATTTGAATCATGAACTTTATTAACATCATTGGATCCATGATGTTGAGTCTAACTCCATAAAAATGGACGAATGATTTTAATATTAGTTTGATTAAATTTTTAGTTCAAATGTGGTTTATTCCTCACCCCATCCCTCTTCATCTTATCTCATTCTTATTGTATTAAATATTATTGGAGTATGATTTCCATATCATGTCTCAAAATATATGGTACATAGATTGCTATTGAACGACCTCAAAATAGGTGTAACTTCTACATAAGTCGACTTACGATTGCTTAACATAGCGCTAAATTTTGTCCCGATTTGAGAAAATGATCATTCGTGGCCCAAACCTATGTTTGCAAGCCTAAGTATGTTAATTTGAACTCTTTGATCCAATAACATTGAGATTCATTATTAGGAGGCTTTGGTCCTACCAATCCTCTAATGAATTTTCATCAATTTGGTCAAAGTGGATCACTTAAACATCATTGATCATTTAATGATGCCTTGAGAATTCTTAAATGGATGATATACTTGACAAAAAGCAAATGCAACTTGTTGTTGAGAGGCTTTGGTCCTACCAATCCTCTAATGAGTTCCAAATGCAAGTTTGAAGATGGCCATTCAACTAACCACTAATTTTTAACAATTTACTTTATTTCATGCTTTACTTTATGTCGTTAATTTAAGCACATTTATTTTAGCATTTACATTTCATGCTATTTTCATCTTTGCTCACTTGAGCCTTTACTTTTATGTAATTTTTTTTATTTTGCTCATTTGAGCTTTTTCTTCTTTTTTTTAAGATACTTAATAATCAACTTGAACCATAAATTTTTTTAATGTTACTTGGATTACTTGGTTACTTTCCTTTGCATTTTGGAGACATGGACTTCTTGGACTTAGGATTAGGAGCCTTAACCTATCTTGGAGACCTTGTGACCTCAACTGTTATTTTGTCTGGAGTTCTTGGGGTTTACCCCAAGATATTGGGCTGTTTGTTTGTTTTGTGTGCAGGTTATTATGATTGCATACTTAGTCTGTGATCTGGAACTCAACTGTATATAGTTGTTATCCTGCCCAATTTTTGTGAAGATTTAATGCAATTGAAGCTTGTTTTTCTTAAGAAGTTTAGTATCCTTGCTTGTTTGGTTTCAAATTCAAAGAATGGGAATTATACATTGACTCACTGTGTCAAGTGTTGGCTAGATGGTTCTTTTTCTTAGCTTTTACCTTATGCTTTAGGATAGTCCCTTCATCTCCTCCCGTCTTCTTTAATTTCAAAAATCGTCTCCCTCCTTTTGAAAACTCTCCTTGTTTCTAAACTTTAACCGCTTTCATAATAAACTTGGACTTATGTCCATGCATTTTCAAAACATTTTCTTAATCAAACTTTAATCAACTTAATAATACCTTGACATTTTTTTGAGAAGACTACAAGTCAATCAATCTCATTTCAAACCATTTTTCCACTTCGGCTTTTTACCTTTAAAACTTTTCTCAAAAGATTAGACTCTTGTCAAATCCTTGAAAGTATGTATACAACTATACTTCTACAATATATAGTGAAGTGAGATATTTTCCACTTGGGTGTTGAGAGAGGCTTTGTTGATTCTAAAATTCAAGCCATATCCTCCACTTTGAGATGACGCAAATTCTCCTCCCTCATGATTGTGGGTAGTAAGTATATTTTCCACTCGAATAAGACAATAATGTCTCATCTCTTAAAATTAACCAATACACTTGTGTTTTAAATTTTTTTAAACGTGAACTACGTGTACCCTGATCCCCTATTGCACGGAAGGTGGTACGTAGGCACTAAAGGTTCACAATCGCGGCGGGTGAAAAAATCATAAAAAAATACTTCTTTTCTCATCTCCACAATCTATTTTATATATACAATATTTTATACCCAAAATATACAGATTTACAAAGAGGTTCCTGCAGAGTACCGTAGATATTTAGGGTGCTAATACCTTCCCTTTGCATAACCAACCCTCTTACCTAGATTCTCTCCCCCTCTTTTTGGGTTACTCGCTCTTTTCCCATTCCCTTGGAAACAATAAAGCGCAGTGGGGATTTTTATTTTGATATGTGCGAGTTAAGTCAATCCAATGGATTAGTCTCAAATTTCTACCGCTACACAACCTAGTCTACATCAACATAGCCTCGAATTTGTGTGTTGGAACTTCTGGGAAACATGATAACTCTACCAAGATTCATCTTTAAGTATCTAAATACTCTACAAGTTGCCTTGAAATGTGTTGTAGTAGGAGCATTTAGAAATTGACTAAGTTGTTGTGTAGCCAAGGATATGTCGGGTGTTGTGATGTTTAGGTATAGTATTTTTCTAATGATTCTTCTGTAAGATGAAATATCCTCAAAAGGTTGGTTGCTATCGTGATGAAGTTTTATAGAAGGATCAAGTGGTGTGTTAGCTGGTTTAGATCCAAGGAGCCTCGATCATTCAAGAAGGTTCAATCAGTATTTTCTCTGAGAGATACATATGCCATCTATGGAGTGAGCAACTTCGAGGCCTTGGAAATATTTGAGAATACCAAGATCCTTGATTTTGAAATGATGGTCTAAAATGGCTTTGATTCTAGTGAATTCAGCAAGAGAGTTACCCGTTATGATGATATCATCAACATAGACCAAGAGAGAAATGGAGGAATCTCCATGCTTGAGGGTGAATAATGAATAATCAGAAGTGGATTGGTGGTAACCTTGTTGAATAAGTAAGGAAGCCAGCTTCTCATACCATTTCATACGGGCTTGTTTGAGTCCATATAGACTCTTTTAAAGTTTGCAAATCTTGTTTGGCTTGGCTACAATGCCATAAAGAATGGACATGTAGACATCTTCTTTCAAGTCTCCATGCAAGAAAGCATTGTTTACATCCATTTGGTGAATGTTCCAGTTTTGGAGTGAAGCTGGAGCAATTAAAATTTTGAGTGTTGTTAACTTGTCCACAGGGGAGAAAGTGTCAAAGAAATCCCAACCTTCAATTTGGTTGTAACCCTTGGCTACTAGTCTAGACTTATATCTCTCAACAGATCCATCAACTTTGTTTTTTACCTTGTAAACCCATCTTCTTCCAATAGGATTTACATGGGATAGTCTATCAACTAACTACCAGGTGTTGTTGGCAGCTAGAGCTTCTAACTCTTTATTCATGGTTGTCACCCTAAAATTATGTTTGCATGCTTCCTTTTAAGTTTGAGGCTCAATGCACTTGGTGATGTTCATGGAAAAATTCTCATGAGAAGAAGAAAGATGAAAAAAGGAATGAAAAGAAGCAATGGGATAAAGAGTACCTGAGGGTGATGATTCATGATGACTTGAAGCTGAAGAGTTGTATACATAGTCCTACAAATAAGGCGGAGTATGTTTTGTTCTAACAGGGCTAGAAGATCTGTGAGTGTTACTATCAGATATGGTGTTTTGGTCATGAATAGATGGAGGTGAATTGTTGTCAAATGTGGTATTTTGGTCATAGGTGGTGTCTTGGTCATAGGTGGTGTTTTAGTCAGAGGTGGTGTTTTGGTCAGGGATAGATGAAGGTAAAATAGTAGGATCATAAGGTTGAGACTGATTTTGGGTTGATTCTTGGATTAGGTCAAAGGTGGAATTTGCCGGTATATTAGGGTGTGTGTGGTAAGTCCAATTTGAAATAGGTTTGGAGCAGTAAAAAGGTAGAATGTGTTCATAATGTTTGACATTCCTTGAAACAAAAATCTCATTGTTGTTTATGTCAAGGAGATTGATACCTTTCATTCCAGTTTTGTAACCAAGTAAAGCACACTTTCTTGCTCGAGTTGCAAGCTTAGTTCTATGTGCTTGTAAGGTGGTGGCATAAACAAGAGAGCCAAAAATTTTGAGGTCATGCATGTTGGGATGTTGGTGATGTATAATGAAGTATGGTGATTGGTTATCAAGGACAATGCTAGGTAATCTGTTCATGATAAAGGATGCATGTAATACAACATATGGCCGATATGGTTTAGGTAAGTTGGATTGGAGAAGGATAGATCTAGAAATATTCAAAAGTAGTTAATGTTTTCTCTTAACTCTCACATTTTGCTGGGGAGTTTCAACACAACTGGTTTGATGAACAATGCCATTGGATGCATAAAAGGTACGTATATTGAATTTAGGACCACTATCAGTCCTGATGGTTTTAGCTTTGTTGTTATGCTGAGTTAAAATGAGATTTATGAAGTTTATGACATGTTGTCTCGCTTCTCCTTTATATTTCATTAAGGTAAGTCAAGTAAATCTATTGTAGTCATCTATTGTAGTTAAAAAGCAAGTGTGGCCAATTATAGAAGGTATAACAATAGGTCCCCAAATATCAAAGTGGATGAGATTAAAAGGTTGTAAAGTTTTAGTAAGTATATTTGGGAAAGTGAGTTTCCTCTGCTTAGCTAAATGGCATACATCACACACAGAACGAGAATCAACATTAATGAAAGTAAATTTTGAATGTAAAGTATTCATGATTTGTACAGAAATGCGTCTCAATCTGAAATGCCACGTAGAATGATTTGGTAAAATGATAGAATTGGAATAAGAGCTACACACTATCTGGTTTGGCAAAGCTAAGTAATACGATTCTTGAACTTTGTCACCAGAACCAATCATCCTCCTTGTGCTCTTTTCCTGTATGAAACAAGTTGAACCATTAAATTCAACTGTGCAATCAAGTGATTGACACAGTTTAGACACCGATATCAAATTTAAAGAAAATGAAGGAACATAAAGCACATTAGTGAGGGAAAAATCAGAGGGAATTTAATGGTTCCTGCATGCTAGCAATAGCAAATTAATCTGTAGGCATTCTAACTTGGATGGGAGAAATTTCTACATAGGAACTAAACCATTAAAGTGAACCACGCAAGTGGTCACTTGCACCAAAACCTATGATCCAAGAACCTAAGTTAGAATTTTGACATAGTAAGGAGTAAGAAAATATTGTGTTAAGTTTACCAGTTTGAGAATCATGTTGTGTAAAAGAGTGAACTTGGTTAGATGTGCTAGGGCATGTTGACTGATGGTGGATTGTTGCAACAAAGTCATTAGCTGATCATATTGCTTGTGAGTAATGGAAGAGGAGTGGATTTATCATTAACAACTTGAGAAGTATTTTCCAAATCCTGATCAATAGTGGATGAATGATTGGCATATTTCTTTTGCATATGAGGTGGAAAACCATGTTTGGCATAACAGTTGTCATCTGTATGATTGGTTTTCCCACAATGAGTGTATACATGATTGTTGCCTTTGCCATAAGAAGATGAGCAGTTAAACTTGCCTTTGTATCTGTGAGAACCAGCAGTATTAACCAAAGAAAAGGATTCTTCAGAAATTGTAAAATTTCCTTGTATTTCGTATTAGAGTACCATAGAAAAATCTTGTTCATTGGAGGAAGAGGATCCATCAACAAGATTTGAGACTTCACAACAGAAAAATTATGATTTAAACCAGTCAAGAATCTAATTGAGTAAAGTATAGTGTGATTATTATGTGCACTACACATGGCTTATCAAGAACACATGATACAACACGAATCTTGCAGACCTAGAATCTTTCAGAAATACGTACCAAGTCGCCTTGAGAGAAATGTTCTTTGAGATCAATCCAAACATCAATGGAATTTTCCATGAAGATGATGGACTAGGAAATGGATTTGGAAACTGAGTTGATGATCCATAAATGCACCAACATATTGCATTTATTCCATGCACGATATAAAGGATCAAAACTATCTAGGATGGGATTGGTTCCATCGATGAATTCAAGTTTTAGTTTTCCACCGAGAGAATGACACATAGAATGTAACCAAGAGTGATAGTTTGCACCTATAAGCTTCGGAGTAACGCTAACTGATGAAGGTCCATTGCTTGGATGAACAAAAAAGGGACTGGATTAATCAAGTTGAGGATCAATCGGTTGATTGTGAGGGGCAGCCATGGAATGCAGAAACGAAGCTCTCTAGGATCAAGAGGCTCTAGATACCATGTTGAGAATGATACAACTCCATGAAATTACCGTGGTGGAAGCTCAAGAAAGAATAAGAAGTGAGAACAATGAATAGATTCATTTAGTTATTACAATGCCATGCATTACAACTTATATAACTTGCATGTGGACTCACTATAGTTATCATGCACTAGCAAGTGTGCAACTGAAGTGTGTAACAGAAAATGCAAAACAATTATGTTAGTTACAAAAACATAACTAACTAACTAGCTACTTAACATGCAAGTTATCTAAACTTCCATGTGATACACAATTTTCTTCTTTCAACTTATTACTTTCTTCATCAAGCACATTATCATTTAACAAATATTCTAGCTGAGTTTGAAATTGGGTATGAGTATGAGCATGACTTTGCCATTGGTGAATTAATTTTATGATATATGTGTACAGTAGGTAATGAGCACGTATGCAGGTTTATGAACATGTACTTGGAACTGTAATAGGTTGTGCCATGGTGTTATGTATGTGACAATCATGGTGGAATTATTATGTAACTTTTGGGGAACTGATATCATGTGGTTTGTACTGATACAAGTAGTAGTTGGTCGGGTTTTTACAGGTGTGTATGCATGTCTATTTTGCAGGTTGATGGTTTTACAGTTGGTTTGGAGGTCCACCAACTGATCTATTCCATGGTTGGACATGCATGCTTATGGACATGGCATGAACATGAAGCTTGGATTTGAAGCATACATGCATGAAAGATGATGGATGCTTGAAGATTTTACAGGAAGTAGATTTAGGAAAATATGGAGTCAGACTGGGGTCAATAGTCAATGGTCAATTGTTTGACCAAAAAGTCAACAGTTGACAAAAAAGTCAATTGTGATAAAAAAAAAGGCTTATTTTCCAATGTACTTTTATTTTTGTAATGAATCCTTTGTATTTGTAATGAAATTGGAATTACTTGACTTTGGGTGTTGACCAGTAATTGTAACTTGTTCTTCAAGTAATGCAACTTTCCACTTTTTTAATTTAAACTTGAATCTTCAATATCCTACTTTAATCAATGGCCAATATAACCAAAAGAGTGTAGTAATGGTTGTTTGAAAAAGTCAAAGTGACTCGCTCAAAAAGCCAACCTTTCATTTTTTTACTTTGACCAAAAGTTAACTTGTGATCTAATTGCCTTGTAGCTCTTCTTTGTTCCAATCCCAAACTTTCATATGATGACTTGATGGAATTCACCAATATCTTGTTTCACAAGTAAGCACAGCAAACCATAATCCATGATTTTATCTGATCACCAATAATAAGACCTTAATATGAAAGAATCATCAGACCAATCCATCAGTAGGCCAAGTATGAGATATTAATTTAAACAGTTAAGTTCAATACCACTTAATCCTTTGAACCAATAATATTACATGTTGACGCAGATGAATGAATGATCTTAACCAAAATGAATGATTAGTAGGAATGCAGGAAAATGAGTTTGAAATCCATGAGCCAGATAAATTGAATGAGGGGTAGGGCAAATTTGGGGTATAACACATGTTATTAAAAATAGGTGGTTCGACATGTTGCAACATTCTTATAATATCTTTGAACGATCTTTGAATCGTCACATCCATTTCAATCAGGCCCTTTTGTTAGGTCTGTGATTTTATGATTGGCAACAATTTTGGTAAAACAAATAGTTGACGACAATTCTGTCAACATTTTCTGTTTGGAAAGAACATGTATTGCAGCCTAATGTTGAGCAAGATGTCATAACATCCTGACCAGTTGGTACAACAGTATATGCAGGTGCTTATTTGACAGATGTTCTATGAGATGTTGTAACATGTTGCAACAGAACACCATATCAGTACAGCTAGATATTTATCCTTCAAGATTTGATTGAAAATATGAGATTCTGGAGGTTTCTAGTACTCATGATAGGTGCATCCAATCAAAGATTATTAGGAATAATTGCATATTTGATTTGTTTCATAAAAAGGATCTTTGAGACTTTTTAGGAAATATTTGAAAGATTTGTTTTTGTTTCTATTTTCATGGAGAATATTCTGCAGGGATTTCGAGCTGAAGATTATATATGATTGAAGAGTCCAAGCCCAACTGCAGAATTCTATATAAGGAGTCGTCCAAGACCTATTTTATAAGCATAGTTTTTATTGTAAAACCTTGTGAAAATAAGGGTTTATGGTTTGATAGTTCCCTAGGTTCTCCATGTGTTTTTGTATGCCCTCACGTATCTTTGATGCATTTGAGTTGACTGATTGTTACTTGTTTATCAAGTTATTATTCTCCTTTAAGTTGTTAAGCAAGAGTTGAGTATTGGTCTTAGTGAAGCTTTTAAGAAAACTAAGTATTTGTAATTTGGAAGTGTGTTCTTCCTTTTTGGTTTCTTGAGACATTTCTTGGGACTGGGAGTGGTTTTTTATCACTGCGGTGATTGGACTGATCTGACCTGATCAGGTTTGGACCGTCACGGCTGGCTCCAAGCAGAAAGCTTTTTGAACGAGGAGGGGGGGGGTACCTGCAAGGCACTCCGATGCTAAAGTCAGTGGGAGTACGAGCAGATAATAGAGTTGAGGTTAGAATGATGAATACCTGACCCTCTGGAAACAGAGGGTATTTATAGCCCCCAGCGCTGGGCCAAGGTTCCTTCGTTGGGCTGGGCGAATTTGGCCCAATGGAGGAACTGCCAGGTTCTACGTGGGTAGTGGGGACCCGCACGTGGTCCCCTTCCTGGATGTGCTGCGTGAAGTGCGGGCGGACAGAGACGCGGTCTTTCCGGAGTATCGTTGGGGGAACGGTGGACTGAGTCTGCCCTAGCCGGGTAGCTCGGGCCCATGTCGAGCTGGGCAGCACGGTGCTGAGCTCGACGCCAGGATCTCGAGCTGGACGGCGGGTGTCGAGCTGGACGCCAGGACATGGAGCTGACGGCAGGGTGTCGAGCACGACTTCACCGCGTGGGTTGGACATCGGGATGTCGAGGTGGACATCAGGGTGTCGGGCATGGACGTGACCCCCTTTGCCCAGTGTGGTCCTTAGTGAGTCCCTTTGGACTGGGCCTTAGTAATGCTTTTGGGCCTGTCGGGCCCAGTCCAGAACAGGAGCCCCCCAAGTCGTGGTTCCTTTGCGAGGAGCCATGACTTGAAACCAAGTTGTTCCGTCGTTGAGGTCTCGTGCCCGGGATGGAGGTGTGGGCCCTCGAGGGGCCTCCTCGTGTCGTGCTCGGAGACGTCCTCGGTGGTGGGTGCGTGGAGGATCCGTACCGGGCGCGTCGGTCGAGCACACGAGGCATCTTTCGGGAGCTGTGCCGCCACCCTAGGGGGGTAGGGCCATCATTGCGTTGGGAGCAGCGCGTCGAGGAGATGGAGTCCGTGGTTGAACGAGGTGACGTTTGGTATTCCACGTCATCACTATAAATAGGATCCTTGGGCCCCATAATACGTTTTCCGTTCTCCGTGCTCTCTCCGTTGCCGCTCTCAACACTTTCTCCAGTTGCGACTTCCCGTCTCAGATTCTTCATTTCTTAGCCAAATCCCAAACTTTGATCCAAGTAAGTGATCTACTTTCTTCATTTTTCCGTTTTAGAATGCATGATTCCTGGAAATTGTAGATGTTTTAGGACCGTGCGCGTGGGATTAGCCCGGTAAACTCGTGTTTTGCCCGACATATTCATGTCTAGGACCGGCAAACGCATACTTGTGGCCGACACATTCATAGTTTTAGGTGAAAAACTTCAGAGCTGCCCGGGGTCTTCATGATCCGGGGCGCCTGATTCATGACGG